ATTTCCTTGGGCAATCTAGTGTTAAGCAGAGTTTGGATAACTATTCCTGAAGAGGTTAATGTTAAATAAATCTTGTTAAGAGACTCACCAATTGTTTACTTGAAGGATCGTCAACCCCGTGTCTTGAGCCAACTGCTTCTTCTGGTCTTCCGAAGGGTACGGATGCTGTAACAAATAAATGAACAGATTTAATAATCTCTAAAACACGTGCATAAAATATACATATTAAATGTAATTAAAATATTTCGACAAATAAACAATTGTACCAAGAATTATAATTGTAACATTGTCTACGATCGAAAAGTTATTCGACCGGGAGCGAATTGTATCCAACGTTACATCTTCCTTTGCTAAACAGCATCCGAAGGCAAGTCGCAAGTTACACGTTATTTACGACGACACCGCGTCGAAGCGAGAGGGGTGGACGGTAGGAGGAAAAAGAGCCCGTTCCGCGTTCCACGGCCAGTCTGTGCTTTTAAACAATTTATCGGATGATTTATCGCGTAACAAGTAAGTGCACAGAGCGCATAGATGCGTCGAGGAATTTTTACCTGAGCCGTATTACAGGGCATCGCGTCGCGTCGCGTCTCGACGCACCTGTGAAATATTATTTATCGCTGGTCGGCAAATACAGGTTAAAAAAAGGCGCGAATGGTACAAAAGCTCTGATATACCGCGTTTTATTGTACAGTCGCGTCGACGCAAATGCAGGGACGTCTTCCTGACGCCTGTTTATCATCGGATCTCCTTGGTGAGGCGCAGTTTACGAGGGACTGTCTGAGGTGCACGGGAGAAGGGTCAACGGTGGAAAGCACGCGATTTACAAGATAATCTCTTTCGTCGGCGATCATCGAAGAGAATCGACGAATCCACAGCGATAAAATCTTGAAGCACAATGAAAGAAGATGCAGAATTTTCTGACCGCAACAACTTTGTCGCTGGCTGGCGAACGGGATGTTGTAAATTATCCGCTCGCCTGGGCTTAACGACACCCTTTTTGGAACGAAGCTTGTTCCTTAATAAGAGGCGAGGAAATATGCTGTTCTTTAACTTTGTTGTAACGATAAACCCTTGACAATAACTACTGATTGTTAGCCGCTAGAGTGCAGCTGGTGTCTGAATTAAATAAATATCTCCTTTTTCCAATACAAAAATTATTGAAAAAGAGACAACTGATAAATTTCCAGATATTTTCCTATACTTTCAAGTCAATACAATAACGAAGTTTATAACGGGAAGTGCAGTTAATAATTTAGGATTCAAGACAGCGTTTGGCTCTTTGGTACTTAGCTGTAGTCGTCAGATACAAAAAAAGTTCTATGCAATTTCCTTTTAATTTTGTTAAGGAATTAATTATAAATAGTTTTAAATATAGTCAATTTTAAATAAAGTCACGGAAATTCAATTAAGTTCTCATGTTGTTTGTTGTGCGATTTCGCCATGCGCAAGAGTCAATTATTTTTTACACACTTTTTTACAGAGTGAACCTATATACTGTTCTTTCTTATATTGCGTCGTGAAAACACCGGAAAACGAAAGCGCGCCATTGGCAAGAGCTCAAACGCGCGGCGTCGGCGGCGGCGAAAGCGTAGCTAGATGAAAATCTTGAGCACTCCTCGGTTATTCCATCGGTCTTGTTGCTCGGCTCCATAAATTCGTGTATAAATCTCATCGTTCTTCCAGAGAAGTTACTGCTCGCATTAATTTCGCACTTGCGGCAACCGCCGACCGCTCCGCGCAACAGGAAGACGAACGACACGCGCCCGATCTTTCCTTCTACCCAAAACCAAACATTTTCACCAGCGCGAGAACCTCATTCGCATTACATTTCATAGATCAATAAATAAACGAAGTTTCAGCAAGTGAATAAATAAAATCATTCGAACTACCACGTCTATTCATAATCCAGTTATTACAGAGTTCAATGCTGCTGACCATGAAGAGCGTAAAATATAAACATCTGCTGTCACTTATTGACCATTAGAAAATATGCTGACAGGAATAATTTCATTCTTAAACGAGCGAAAAGATATCGACACGCCTTGAAGACACGGCGGTCGACTATATCAAACCGTGTTTCGGCGTCAGACTGGCTCGTAATTCAAAATTCACGCAGCAAGACATTAAATTCGACGTGAAATCGGCGAGCTACGCACGGGCCGACGCGATGCCAAGCCCCGGCTCGGAGGTAGAACGGCACCCGAACAGAGCAGGCGGATCCGGCTGCGCATAAAAGCCCGCGGCTGCACCGCAAGCGGCCGAACCGCATCATATTTTTACATAATTAGCACGTGGCGCTCGCGGTATTACGTTCCAGGGCCGTACGTCCGGCTCCCCGCTCGTTACTTTTTGCCGGAGCCTGCGGTATTTTTGGAAACCGCTGTATAGAGCCGCTGCTACCCCCCCGTATATCATGTTTCTTGGAGGCGAGCCACGGTGGTATACATGCACCAGAAGCGTGGCTTCGGTTACCCCCCCGTCGCACTCCCATCCCCTACAGAAACCCATTGTGCGGCCGTGTATACGCGATCCAAGCGATTCTTATCCTAATTAAATCGGCCGAGAGAGCATTGTCTGGCCGTGGAGTTTCTATCGGATCTCGCCTGCCTGCCTACCCAGTTTGTACGTACACGTTCATGGCGTAAAATCATATTGAGCCACGGAGCGCGGGGTAAATTGAGACGCGGTCCCGGATTTCATACGGACCGATCGCGGAGTTCCAGTTGGAAAATAAAATAACAATTGCAAATAGGAATAAAATTGTAAAGCGATATTATTTTTAGAAACGAAGTGAAACACCGAAGTACGTCTTTCAATGAATTTCTTAAATTGTAACTACGTCGAGGAACGTGTAAAGGATTTTTGTACTCGATCGTATTTCGCGAAATCCAAGGACCGTCTTCCCTTGCAACCGTACCCGCCCTGTTGGTGTATGCATAAAACAATCAAGATAATTGTTGAAGCTACATGGGGACCCGGCTGGCTGGGTGACTGCTTTCCACCCTCTACGGGGATCGAGGTGGCTGCCGGGACGGAAGTAAAGGGGACAAAGAGAGAGGGAAAGAGCGAAGGCAGCAGCTATCCAATTACATTGAAAACAATAGTCTTAAGTGCTCGCGGCGGTCCGTTCTGGCCCCTGCTCCACCCCCGCCGATGCTTTTCCCCGAGGGTCGAAACCATCCCCACTTTCTCGGAGCACCGGGGCCACCCGTGACGATGCACAACTTTGACTCGCTAAAAGTATTACCGCGAGAAAGTTGCAGGTAACACTCTGCGAATTGAATGAATCTTGCAGCCGCCCCCGCCACCCGGACGTTCCTCGATTAAGAAATGAAACCGTGCGTCGGTTACAAGGGTGTTGAAAAGGTCGAAGAGAAAGAAATCAAAAACCTTGTACATATGTATAAAAGCTGATACAAAAGCTTCGTTAAAATATAATAAATCAGCATTTGAAATGATTTAATATCAATTTTGTTAAGCTTTTACAATTTGATAATGTACAACATTTGCAATTTGAGCTTGTGTCGAATAAAACGAGATCGAGTATACAGGAACAATTTCGCGGAGAAAATCAGAACAAGCAACAGACGTGGAATCGTCGAGGCGGATGACTCGACTGGCAAACAAGCGATAAAATGAAAATGAGCGATAAAAAGACAATATGAAAACCATTTTCGGTCCCGGGCCTGGGGTAGAAACGAGCGAGGCGGAAGCCCGGCTAAGTGTGTAAATGAGTCCGTAGTTTAGCTCGATTGCCTCGAGACGACCCCTTTTCGTGGTACGCTAACCTCCTCATCGCAACCTTGATAGCGAAGACATAGACTTTGGATGGCTAACCGTGGCCCCTTCCGGGGCCGCTCCCTAAGACAATTCTCGAGACGATGAGATCGCTCGTGACCCAAATTCAAATCAGTACAAACTGGCGAACGCGTCAAGTATCTTTTCTACCCGGCGGCATCCACAGGTGTGCGTTGGCGTCGAAAGAGGTTCAACGGGACGGCCGGAGAAAAATGAAGTTCAAGGGTGAACCGGTGTCAGTGTCACGCGGCATCCGCGCCGTCATAGATGATGAATTGATGGAAGAAACGATCGAGAGGAAAGAAGTACTCGGGGCGAGTCGATTCCACGTCAAACTAATTGAAGGATTACACCGAAAGCGGCCAACGGCAACGTTAGATATCGTAACTTGCCCCGCACGCCTACTTCTATCTCACGGGCGACTACGCGACGCGGCGCGAGAAGAAGAAAGCTAATTTCGCTGTCTATTAATATTCAATGCGCGCGCATTAGCATCGCGCAATGTTTCAACTTGTAACCTGTTCGGAGCGCGAATAGCCAGACTCCAGTCGATAAATCATAGGAGCGCGAGAAGCGAGCCGAGCCTGTTATTAATCGTCCTCGATAAGCAACCGACCGACTGGTTCCCGTCCCGGCCGCGGAATTGCCCAAGTCGGTCGACGATAACGACGACAATCCCGGGCCCGAATGAATCTCGATCGGGACCAATTGCGCACGTATCCTCGTTACGTCGTCGTAGCGTCGATCGGTCGTCACGAGGAAGGTGTCTCCAGTACCTCCGATCGTCGACGCGATGCGACACCCACGCAGCCGTCGACGATCTCGATACGCGTCGCGTCGCCGCGAGCACCGACAATTTGCTAGTTCTCTCGATGCTGCGTCAGGTCGTCGATGTCGAATGGGCGGACTCTGCGAAACCAAGCGGCTTTCTGTCTTTCTCTCGCTTCCTGTCCGCGTGTCCTTCGTTCCCGGGATCACCCTCGATAAACTCGGGCTTCCCGGTGCCGAATGACACGTCGATGACGACCGCTGCTGACTCCGACTAACGAGCGGGGCGTTGGGGGCGTGGGACTCGGCACGGAGATCGCGCCTCGTCATCACGCGCCTCGATTTCGACCCTCCGCGCCACGTCGACGGAAATTGAGGGAATTCAAAAGAAAGGGTTACGCGGGAACGATACTGTCCACCGCTTTCGATAACATTAACAGTATTCTCCCAGCTGTTTTTTCACGATGAATTGCTATATCTAAACAGTAGTAATACTGAAATTCCATTTAAAAGGAATTAAAGGAAATTCATTCGACTATGAATGTATCGAAAAAAAGGAATAGTCGTCCAATTCGGAGGAATAAGGACCAGGTCTCTGC